GAGAGAGAGAGAGAGAGAGAGAGAGAGAGAGAGAGAGAGAGAGAGAGAGAGAGAGAGAGTTGGTAAAAGTGCAATGGAAATTAAAAAACTTTTTCTTAAATTATAATCACTTAAAATAATTATGAAATGTAATTTCAAAAAAAAAAAGATTATATAAAATTATAATACTTATTAAATATATGAAACATTAATTTGCATAATATTTGAATACATGCAATGAAAGGCACTCATCACTAGTGAAATCTTACGCTAATTACAAAATTATTCAAAACAACTTTTTATAATATAGTTTTAGTGTTTAATTGACTTTTATTTGGTCTGTTGTGAGAAATCTGAAGAGGATATAGATTTGTCACTGTCTTCGCTCACAAGTCCTAACAATAATTACTCGTTAATTGATTATTGTATTTAATTTTCTATACCTATTACTAACACTTTTACTTGGATTCACGTCTATTTTGGTAATATATTACAATCAATGTTATAATGAATGTGTAATTTTCAATAACTTTATCATCTTTATGCAATTATTTTGAAATGACAAATAATTGATATATATTTTCCAATTGGAAGTATTTGAGAAGCAATTCTCAATTATTGATTATAACTTATATAATATTAATGGTCTTTGAACTTCATATAAAGGGGCATAATTTTGGGGCAAAATATATGCTTATTTAATCCTTGAACACTCGAGGATATGTACTCTCTCTCTCTCTCTCTCTCTCTCTCTCTCTAGCTTTCTATTATTTACATTATATTTGTTTGGTTTAAATTGTTGTCCAAACGGGAAAATAGGATTTATATTTTGATTGCATTTTTGCCCAATAATTGTTTAGTGGAAATGAAATTTTTATTATTATTTGAAATTTATTATAAATTTTGTACAAAAAATACTTACATTAATCTCATTCACCCAAAAACTTTCCCTAATTTATGAGATTAAACAATAGTTTTTATATTTAGGATTTAATGTCAAGTTTTTTCTATTTTAACGAAAATACCTTTTCTTTGTGGGAAATCCTTTGAGAATTTACTTTTCCATTATTTCGTTGTCTAAAAGGCAAATAAAAAATAGATATAAAATTTCTTTAGTAAAAAAAACGCGATAAAAAACTCTTGAATTCAACACATATTTCTCAACATATTTTAACAAACAAATCAAATACGAGTTAAGAGTTAGAAAAGCATTTTTTGTATCATTTTTTGTATCATTTTTTGTATCATTTTTTGTATCACTTTTTGTATATTAAATACTTTTGCACAGAATATTCTTTATATTGCTGTATATTTTTGCATTTGTGCTTAAATTCTGTGTTTTTTGCTTTCTGTGCGTTAATTGAATAAATCATTAAATTTTATTAAATACAGTGTAAATAAATTGTTTGTCATTTAGGCTTTTGTGTCCTTTTTTTGCCTGTTTTGTCGCTAATCTTTTAGACTTAAAACAATATTTAAGATATTTAACGATTAGATTATAATTGTTTGTAAGGATTGGCCGATAAAGCGTTGGCTGTGTAAACGTGGTGTAACCAAAGGGGTTATTATGATCACTAAGTAATTTAACCTGCATATTAAATTAATTTATAATTAAATTAGCAGCAAACCAATTAAGTTGTAGTATTTACCATAATCTTATTATGGTAATAATCACGACTTTTCTCGTATATGAATTATGTACTATTATTATCTGATATTTACGTATGAAGTTTTTGGGTACTCCTTATATCATTAAATTTGATTTTACTTAAAGTAAAAATATATTTCTCGATAAAATTATTTAGTTTCTAA